AAAATTGTCGATCAGAATCGTTATGGAAAGAAGAAAACTCAATGTTTTGATCGTTGAAGAAGTGATAATGCAGTGTGCTTCACCGCAATTGAAGTTGATGACCCCGATCATTTGTTTATATCCGGGGTCATTACACTGTCCAGACATCACGCGATGCGATGGCGTGTGGTGTGAAAAACTTAATCAGTTGCTATTGTTTTACACGGGACGTTACTTGTAGTGTGAGATTTGATATTGTTTCTGTGACGTTCACGGTAAATTCAACACAATGCACACTTTTTAGGTCGGGCAGACCGGATTACTAGACAGCGGACGTGGTGCAACTGGTCGGATGGTCGATGTATTCAGTGTGAATATTGGACTTGGGGCCGATCAATGCGGTCGGTGTTCGGAGTAGACAGTGGTCGGATTTCACAGGTTGTTTTAACATAGGCGTCTATGGAGAAATTTCGGGACTACATAAATCGGTCGGTTCTGACAGTAGGTCGGTTTATCCAGGGGTCGGTTTTGACAGGTTTTACTGTACTTCACAGGGTATATCTTCTAGTTTTCACATGCATAATGTATCTCCACAATGTTTGGAGTTTCTGACTTTTTATACTGCCCACTAACTACTGATTGTGGTAAAATTAGTTCATTTTAGCATACTCATGTGTGTATTTTTGGAATTATTATTCAGTCCCTTCAAAATATTGGTTGAAATTAAAAAAATTGTTATCCAATTAACAGCAAATATAATGAACAAGCTGAATTGCTACACAGCATACACAAAGCTAGACTATGCTTAAAGCGCGGCTCCGCAATCCCAGGAATTGCACCAGTGCATCATGGGAAATGTAATTTGCATGGTCCGCCCAGTTGTTTACTTGGTACACAGCTGTTATAATTTCAACTGAAGGCGTTAATTCCGTAAGCTAACGTCATGCATTACGCTATTATCTGATTTGAAAGGACTTGCTGAATCCCGTTGTTCGACGTTCACTGGGCCTACGCACTCTTTTGAAAGCCGTTTTCTGTGTTTGTTTCGCTCGTGGTCGACTGTAAAGCACAATTTCTGTAAATGGCGTGACGGCATTGTAAGGTTCTCTCTGAATTGAGCTCATGCCTTTGCTTTCTTGCTATTGTACTAATATGTTACAAGTGCGACCTTTTTATACAATGTATTTATTCATTCACTCGTACGTTACGAGTGCGACGTATTCATACTACGTACTGTGCTATGTTGCCGTGGGTTTATTTATAAATATAATTAGTACGTAGTTGCAACAAGCCAATTATTATTAAAAATCTAAATAGGCAAAGTTATGAGTAAATCAATATAGATACATCGAACATGCAACGTGCGGTTCATGAATAAATA